TGTTGATGAGGCTGCTGCAGGTGTGCTGGTCGGGCTTTCAGTTGTTGGTGTGGAAGCTGATGTTGATGATGTGCGATCTGTGGATTTTGTAGATGAAGCAGTGGTACTTGCAGAAGTTGTTGTTGATGAGGCTGCTGCAGGTGTGCTGGTCGGGCTTTCAGTTGTTGGTGTGGAAGCTGATGTTGATGATGTGCGATCTGTGGATTTTGTAGATGAAGCAGTGGTACTTGCAGAAGTTGTTGTTGATAAGGCTGCTGCAGGTGTGCTGGTCAGGCTTTTAGCTGTTGGTGTGGAAGCTGATGTTGATGATGTGCGATCTGTGGATTTTGTAGATGAAGCAGTGGTACTTGCAGAAGTTGTTGTTGGTAAGGCTGCTGCAGGTGTGCTGGTCAGACTTTCAGTTGTTGGTGTGGAAGCTGATGTTGATGATGTGCCATCTGTGAATTTTGTAGATGAAGCAGTGGTACTTGCAGCTGTTATTTGGCTACTCCTAAAAGAAGAAAAAAAAATAATGATAATTTACAGTATAATGAAAAATATATATATATATTTCTTAATTTTAATTATTTTATGTAATTATATGTAAACATATGTAATTTTATGTATTGTTTAAATATTTAAAAATATTTTTTAAATGTTATATGATAAAACAATTTTTAAACTGAGAGTGAACCACCATTTATGTAATATATTGGCACAATGAGGGTTCTCTTTCTTAAAAATGACACTCACGTGTGGTTTGCAGAAGGAATCCCACATGGTTTCTGTTGTATTGAGTTCATCTGTGGTTTGAAGATTTATGAAGAAAAACAGAAAAAGATTTAGCTAAAAATGAAAACTATACATTAAGGCACAATACGTAGTATATAGGAATACCTAAGGCTCAGTAACCAGGGAAAACCACTTGATGTGTCAAACCCCAAATTGCATATAAAATTATTAGTGTTCTCACCAGTGCGTTGATGGAGTCCTGGATTGATTTATAAGTTACATCCCTGCCCTGAAGATCTTCTAACATCTTCACATTGCTGATCAGGAAAGACAAATGGATGGCAAAGGCTCCACTAGGCAATTCTGAAACAAAGTAAAAAACACCAAAAAAGTATAATGAATGTTGACTGCAACTTTAGTTATGTCCTACCAATTTGTTACCAAAGCTTCGATACTTAAAAAAACAAAACATATTTACATCCATCCATCCATCCAACTTCTGAAACCACTTGTCTTATTCAGGGTTGTGTTGGGGTCTGGAGCCCATCCCGAAGGATATGGGCGTAAGACTCATCGCAGGGCACATTCACACAGCATTCACACCTACGGGCAATTTGACAACTCCAATTAACCTCAAGCATGTTTTTTACCGGAAAACTGAAGCACCCAGAGGAAATGCCATGGCAACATGGGGAGAATATGCAAACTCCGCATCTGCATGGTGGAGACTGAAACCCTGGCCCCAAAGATGTGAAGCAACAGTGATAACCACTGCATCCCTGTGCCACACCCAACATATTGACATAAAAAGGTGAAATAAGGAGAGGAAAAGATGCTAAAATAGAGCGAAGTAAACATTCCCTGGAATTTCATAAATGAATAAACAAATTCTGTTCAAGACGTGCTAGAGACCCAAGAGAAACTTACTTTGATACTTTACACTTTGCAACCTCTCTTGTTGACTTCCACCTCTGATTTGTGAAGATAGGAACTGCTTGACCAGTTGAAGTACCTCTGTTTCACTTGTTTCTTCAAGAATGAGCTGGATTTTGATTTCTACTGATCCCACACTAAAAACAAATGAACAAATTAATTTAAAAATATTAAAATAAATATCATCAATGTAATGTTCAAATAAAATGACTGAACTCCTGAAATTGATGGCAGAAACACTAAAGCAAAGCCTGAAAAAACATCTTACATAGACTTTGTCATCATGGATGATGAAGTGGTTGTGGCTACTGTATTCTGCCAGCAGATGAATGCTGTTTTGGAGATAGAATGAATTTTTGGGTAAAAAAAATTAGAAAGAAAATTATAAAAATGAAAATCATGCACTAATTTACTTTCAAGCTAAACTGTTCTGAGATAAACCACTTTTGAAAATCACTGTGCTTGATCGCATATAAATGTTGTTTAGATTTGCTTAACACAAGAACATTGGTTCTCAACCCGTTCAAAATTAAGGCCTACCTATTTATCAATACATGTTGTCAAGGCCCACTGGGCCACATTACATGGTATTTAATAACCAATTACCAATATTCATATTTCAAAAAATGTAATTTTTTTGCCACCGAAACAAAATTCACATTCCAACACTGAAACTAGCATATGTGGTAATGTTCAGATAATTCACATGAAAAATAAAAGGTTTGTTTTATCTATAACTCAAAAGCTTTAAAAAGAACAGTCTCAAAAATGCTAAGTGAGCCTCCAACAGTCCTCAGTGTTCATCTCTTTTCCTGTGTGGGGAACAACATGACAAATACATATTTAAAAATAAAGCCACAAGTAATTGTAACTGTGCAAACGTTTATCGGATACATCTTTGCTGAACACTTAGAACAGTTTATAAACAATGTGAACTTCTTACATCGTCATACGACGACGATGGTCATATAATTCAGTGTGGACACTGTTCCCAGATGATGCAACAATTTGCTATAAATTTTAAGACAAGTTTAAAAAATATTTTTACATTTATTTCTTTTCCAAAAAAGTGCTGGGTTGCTAGCGAACAGAACATGGTGAAGTAATTGTATTTTTAATTTTAAGTTATGCATTTGCAAACACCGCTTGAATGCTTTTTACCCTAAGTAAAGTAGTAGGGTTCCTGAAAGTCCCCCGTATACAAGGGTTATATTAACAGAGAACAATTGAACATAAAACACTTACTACAAAAGCTGTCACTTTGTTGAGTTAAATAAAGTCATAATAATACAAATAAAACAATACCAGTCAGGGCCAGAACGGAGCCAATTTTCAGCCAGTGAGTTTCATGCCCATGACCAGCCCACTTTTTTTCAGGAAGGTGAAAACTGGATAAATGAAGCAATTCTTCAATCCTTATTATTCAATAGTTTTATTAGCTTTTTTTTTCAAATATGAATGAAACACAAGTCGAATTAATAAATAAAATAATATCAAAATTAATCTCGCAGTTCTACTATACTAATTTTTAATTGTAAATTAAACAGCAATAACATAATATCTATAACAGTAACAGCCGCCTGAGTAGTGTACTGGTCTCTGCAACTTTGTTTATTTTTTATCTATCAACATAAGTATTTCCTTCTCTGTTCACATTAGCATGAAGGCCTCCAAGTGCTCCTGAATCAGTGAGCTTTGTAACCTGTTCTTAAATTTAAGGATAGAGAAGATTTTCTCACAGGCAATCTGAGTGATTGAAAGTGTCAAAACGTCTTTTCCTATACAACAAAATACGTATGTGCCTGAAATATGCTGTACAAAAACATATGATTTATTAGTCTTTTAATTTCACTAATACACCTCTGTGTAGTTTACCTTTGAATCTAAAATGTAAATCTCATCAACTCCTGAATATCTGAATTTTATATGGAATATATCTATCACTTGTGTGTGTATATGAGTATATTAAATAACTTTAATTCATGTATAATATCTGACCCCTCAGCCGTTCTGGCATCCTCACTACTAATCAATTGTCCCTCATTCTTGGCAGAACACTGACTGACAGAGGACTGCTGGTCAGAAACTACATAATGCTTAAATGGTCATTTTACTGCATACTCAGATCGTGCTTTATTTTTTTCTTAAAATTACGTTTGCGAACATATTTAATCGTCATAAGCTATAGAATATATATATATAATGTATAATTTTAAAATTGGTTTAATGCTTTGCAACAGGTTGACAACATTTCCCTGTTGCCAGTTCTTTTGAAAAAATCTCTGGGATTTTGGCACATTCCTCCAGCGCTCGTTTTTTTCTTAGCCTGGCCTTTTCAACCCCCGCCTTTTAATTTAATTACTAAATTAAACAATCTGTAGGCTCAAAGTCGCACTGTTGGGCGTAACCAACTTGAGCGATTTGGAAGGGGAGAACTTCCTTAGGTGGTATCACCCATGTAATCTATCGTTAAAGAAAGGCTGCGATGTCAGATTGTGGATCGTACGTGCTACTGTTTCAGATATAATAACGCGAGGACTGTCAAATCGGATTGTTTTATTTCCGACCGGCCGAAAGGTCAAGCTGCCCACCGACAAAATCCCCCGATTAGCCACTCCGGGCCTTATTTCAGTAAGAAAAAACAATAGGGATCCTGCAGCTAAGGCTACTTGGACCCCTAATTGTAGGGCCTTTCTGTAAACAGTCTCTGACCATGAAATAGGTACATTATTCACTTATAGCTCAGCAGCAGAATCGATACTTCTTCGCACGGCGAATGTAATGTTTTCATTTGGGTTTGTTTGCGCGTGTAAACGCAGTCGCCGTGGGCCACTTCTGCTTGGTGACGAAAAAAGAAAAAAAAAACTTCTGTTTATTGAGCATGACTGTCACACAAGGAGGACGGTATGAATTTGTAAAAATATTTTGTCGATAGTTTTAAACCCTGGGTGACATGTGCTGTATAATGCATATAATAAACCACAGCCTTTGCGATTTGCGTTATTTCAAATCGTGATTTCCATTTATGATCGATAAATCGTTTAGAACTTATATATTTACTGCCCAAATTACGTATGGTGTTGGCGGGCCCTTTACGGACCAATGGAACTACATGCTGTGTTCCCTTCGCGGCCCACACGATGGCGATCTCGACCTATCAACGGGCCGCGACAAAGTGGTTAAGAAACCCGGCCTTAAGCAACTTAGAAAGTTATTGCTCGGGAAACAGAGATAGAAAAGGGAACACCTTTAGTAATACATACCTTTCGAGTCTCCGTAAGACGGCACGAGTAACCGTTATCGGGAAACGCGCACCGTTGTTCCTTTTCTAAATCAATTTTTCGTTTAGTGTGTGTGTATATATATACATATATATATATTAACCTCCTGATACCCCACCCATTCATTTATGTCCATTGCAGTGGACATTTTGTTTTTGCATATATCTTTTCACTGATGTGAGAAAACATATTTATTCTTGTTGTACACTAAAGAGGACATGCTGTGAAATTAAAAATAAAAGTAAATTTGAAAAAAGATGTATTTTTTCCTCCAAAGACATAAATCACAAGTAACCTAAAACTGAAGGACACTTTTTGCCTTGGGTCTCAGGAGGAGACGTTACACTGGTGTAGTATAATATTTATATATAATATTGTAGTTAAAAACGTCAGACATATTGTGATTAACGACTTTCTAAACTTACCTATGGAAAATAAAATCCTTGCTGTGCTTGCCCTCATTTCCAGAGAAATGAATTAATGAATAAAAATATATTTGTAAAATCTGTAGATATCTGTAGTTTATATTTCCTTTGAAAACAGTTGAAAGCCACCTCTGTCTGTTTCTTCATTAGAATTATAAAATCCCTTTAAGTAGGCTACCTTGTTGATTCTGTCAGATTAGGTTTGTTGTGAAATGACTTCTCACATCAAACTGGCATTCTAACTTTTCGGGCGGTTTTTAAACCCATCTTGCTTGTCATTTACGAGCGAACACACCTGTATGCGCCCCGAGTGAAGAATGTGAGTTACGTTCGTACCTGACGCTAAACATGTAACTAGAACATCAAGTAAACTTCCAGAATGAATATAACAATGCAAGTAAGGCAGTTTCAAAATTACTGAACATATTTATAACAAGTATATTATTAAGATGTACCATACCAAAGCACAACTTGACGTAGCCTACACGTCTTGCAAAACATTTAGAAAGATTCTATTCTATATGCTTGTATACTACACAAAAATTATATTTTTTTTCGAGCTATGGTTAAAATAATGTCAGTTATTGTTTCAGCGTTAAACCAACATTGAAAAACGTGGTTATGGTTGTACGAAGGTTAAAATACTTATAAATCAACGTTGAGATTTTAAGATCTGTTGAATCAACATACAAAAGAAATTTCTGCCTTTTAAATTATTATAATTTCTAGTAGGCCTATATTATTAGCATTTTATAAGACCACTTCAAAAATCTATATATGTATATTAATAATATAATAATTATTATCATTAATAGTACTAAAACATGGAAAAGAATACTGCACTGTAAAAATATAACTTCAGAAAAGTTAACTGAACTAAGTTGCCTAGGTTATTTAGACTAATGACTAAACAAAATGCTGATCCAACTCATAAAAATATTTTTTCTTAATGGTTCATGAAAAGGAGTGTGTGCAACATAGAAAGTAAAGTTTAGAGAAATTATCGATTAAGTTTTAATGAGGATAAACTATTTGTCGTCGTCGATGATGTAGTGGCTTTGTATTGCATTAAGAAATAAATATTTCATATATGTATTCATAACAAGGTAAGATTAATATTCATTTTTTATTAGTCTCACCATATTGACCCGAAAATAAGACATCCCGATTATAAGGCGACTTATAAGGATTTTTTTTATATAAATTTGACCTTTATACAGAGAAAAATATGTATTTGACAAAAACATATAGTACTTTACCCAGCAATCACAGGTTAAAAGTAACCACGGGCAATCTGATTACAATAAGTGTATTAAACATCAAACATTCCAAAAGCAACTTTATTTATTTATTTGTTTATCTATTGGGGGGGTAGATAATGAATATTACAAAGTAATAATCCTTGAAAGCGCAAGGATCCTCGATGCGGCAGACGCACATGCTGCAGACCCACATGGAGATAGTAAAAAAACTTATTGCAGATGAAGCTTTACCCATATCAAATTATATGACAGCTCTTTTAAAATTAATGTTACTACCTTTATTTATTAGCAGCGATAGCAGCTCCACCAGGGAAGGCATCAAATTACACGATACTCAGGGATAGACGCTAAACAAACACACGCTTTGCCAGGGCTGTCAGCTCTCACGCATCTGGCGAGACACTCACGATTTAAGACACTCCTGCTCACGCAAGAAACCGTAAGGCAAATCTACGTTACAAGTTAAAACACGCCTTACAAAATACAGTATTTGCCGCCATTTGTTTCCTTTTTTTTGGCTAGACCCCGACGTATTTTGAGAAAAACCCGTTTTACATTCGGGGCAGCGAGGTATATTGCTTTTTCGTTTCATTCTAAAATCGGCAGTTTAAAATTGCTACAGGCTAAACAATTCAGCGATTAATTTTATTATAAAAGCCAAAAAAGTAATCAGTAAATGAAATTCACTTTATTGTTGGTTAAATTATCTGTCATTAATCGTTTTATTTGTGTATTTCTTTACCTTTTTCCGTGATCAAAATAAAAGTTTTTTGTTTTTAGCGATATAGTAGCATAAAGGTAGACTGGATATTTATATTGCTTAGCGTTTGCTTTTAAGATTCGAGTGTGGATTAGATATGTACGTCTCTGATATATATTTTTATAACTTGTGCATTTTAGCAATATAATGTAATGGACTATGGGGTCGATTCTCCCATCGTGCGCTTAAGTCAAAATAGCGCTTATAATGTTACCCGCGTTTCAGACATAGTTGAACAGTCAGCTCGTTATTTGCTAGACATTTACTTATCTTCTTTGCACTTACTATATTAAAACTTTACAAAAACAAGGAAACCCCACATTCACAAATTCATGTATGTTTGTGAAATTACATACACACTTTGGTTATTCAATTACTACATCCAATAAATTGTGAAAATGCAAAGTAATCTATATATTTTGTATGCAAAGCCTTGTATGCCAAAATTGCATATTTAATTTGCACATACATGTATACTAAGCAGTTGCACATGCATGCATACTGTCATGCATATACTTGAATACTTCACTTGCACATACATATATACTGATTCTAGGCACTTCCACATGCATACAAACTGTCATGCATATACATACACGCATGTACATGCATGCATGGGAATGTATGTATGTGTGAGCCAAAGTATGCATTGTGGGCATTGGTGGCTTGATGGTTAGGAAAGCCCACTTGTAATTGAAAGATTGCAGGTTCAAATCCCTGACCAGCAAGGTACCGCCCCCAAGTACTGCTCCCCGGGTGCTGAATTAGCTGCCCCCTGCTACAGTATGTCACATATGGGTTAAATGCAGAGGGCACATTTCGTTGTTGTGTGCTGTGGTGTGTCAACAATGACAATTGATCTCTAAATTCTGTATAATCCGCTCTTGAGATTCTGTGTAACCCTGTTGAATGGTAATAAAATTTTCTCTCTCCTCTCTGGACCACAGTTCTTTACAATTTTTGGAATCCAAAAGAATCATTCATCGACACTTGTTGCAGGCAAAAACAGAATACCCAACCATGATAAACACGAAAAACGAGCACAGACGATACGCACAGACTCAACCAGTTGAGAAATGTACTAACATGGTGGGTGATGGTCTTTGCATCCTGTGGGTGGTATGGCGTGACATAAATTGCAACCCTCCACTTGCACCTCAGCTCCTTCATCTTTTGTGTTTATTGGCGGTCGGTGTGACACCAGAAGCGTCGATGCTTTTGCTCTCACATGCATTCATATGTACAACCCCAATTCCAAAAAAGTTGGGACGTTGTGCAAATTGTAAATAAAAACAGAATGCAATGATATGGAAATCTCATAAACCCATATTTTATTCATAACAAAACATAGAATACACATCAAATGTTTAATCTGAGAAAATGTATCATTTTAAGGAAAAGATAAGATAATTTTGAATATCATGGCAGCAGCACATCTCAAAAAGTTGGGACAAGGCCATGTTTACCACTGGGTGGCATCCCCTCTTCTTTTAACAACAGTCTGTA